GGAATTTAAAGATGTTTAGTTCTTTGAGTCTTCTTTACATTCACAATGGAATGAGTTAATTGAACCATGAGAATGTTACCAGAGTCTTTCAAGAGGCTATACTTTATTCAGTACACCATTTTCACACCAATATTTCTTTCTAGTTTAGAGTATTTGGTGCCTTTGCTGACATTCTTTTTAACAGAAATGTAAATATTCAAATCTATTGCTTTTTAAAGAGCCTTGTCTCAAGCTTTAAATGCCCGAAGCTGTTCATCCGATTGAATGTATTTGATTTCTTGCTGTAGCATTAAAGACACCAACCCTGCAGAGAGCAAGGCCATCACAGAGCAGGTGGAGAACATGGAGAGGCTTTTGACAAAGCTCAAGTTGGAGACCCAAAATAAGCGGGACGTTCTGCAGCAGGCTCAAAATCAACAGTCCTTCCTGCAAGACAGCCGCAGGCTCCTGCTGTGGGGAGAAGGCATCAGGGAGAAACTGAGCAGTGAAGAAATGGGTGTGGACGTGGCTTCTGCAGAGCAATTGCTGAGGGAACATCAGGACCTTCTGAAAGAAATTAAGTCTCAGAAGGAAAGGTAAAGAGATTCTATCAGGCTGGGCAGAGTGGAGTGATATTACAACAGTACTGTGAAGATGAAACTTGTCTGTTGTGTATTTAAGTTGTGTGTGAAAATTACGCTGAGTGTTTTTTTAAATGCTTATGAAACTTAATGTCAAAAGGAGATGGCTGAACACAAAATCCAGTTATTTTTTGCATTCTTATACTGATGGCAAGAAGAGTGAGATGTCTATTTGGAGTAGTGTTTCACAAGTTCTCCTGACACTGGAATAATGCCACCTGCACTTTATTTCATTTCACCCAGCTCTTTTCTTCCTAGGCCTTATGTTTCCAGTTGCTATCATCTTCAGTTCTGTTACTCTGTATCATTATAAAGTTTCAGATATAGAGCTGGCTCTTCTTGTCCATTTAATGGGAAAGCCTATTTCTATGGGTTTTCAAATCAAATAGGGAAATCCTTCCTACCACCTCTAGTCTGTATCCCTGAGCAAACAACTACATGCACTTTGTAGTGTACAATAATGGCTAGCAGGGAAAGAGCAAGTGGGAGGGAGGAAAGCTTAGTGTCTAGGTACTGCTGAGAGGAAAATTAGCTATAGTAGAAAAGAATTCATATGCCCTCATGCAGTGAGTTACCACTTTTCTTTCTTTTTCTTTGTCACTGGGAAGATTTGTGCAACTGGAAGAGCTTGGGCGCAAAGTAATCCACGAACTACCCAGTAATAGCAGGACCAAAGATGTCCTACAATACATGGAGAGGCTTGCCCAGGAGAACAAAGAGCTGGAAAAGATGTGGGAGCAGCGACAGAAAAAGCTGCAGGATGGCTTGGAATTGCAGAAGTTCAACAGGGAAGGAGACCGTATCAATGCTGCCCTCTCTAGCCATGAGGCCTTTCTCCGGGGAGATGACCTTGGGGTATGTACAGCAGCTGATTTTGTTTCTTCCTAATTCCTCTCCCCATCCAGGGAGTCACAACAATTTTCTTAATTAAATCAGCTTCCTCATTCTTATGGTTATGGCATTTTCATACACTGAAACTCAACTTTCAGGTTTTATTCATGTTCTTATGTTCGTATTCATCATAATGAGAAGGAGACACATTGTCTCAAAAACATTTTTAAAAATAGCTAGCGTTGTAATCTATTGCTATGTTTGCATGTCAGATGATTTAAAAACAGTTCAGTGACCGGTTTGGTGTCTAATGCTAAAAAAAGGTTTTGAGCTTGAACATAATCAGTTTTTTTCATTGAAATAAAAAACTCAGTTTAGAAAAAAATACATTTTTTCTTTTCAATGATTATGTTAAAAATGTTAAACCAAATGAAGGTAAAAACCAAATGCAGATAATATTCACAAGATCAGTGAAGGAGAATTTAATTCTCCCTCACTGGAGATTTTATTCATTATGGCCATGCTGGCATATACATGTAGATGCAGAATACAGATTTTCTTAAAAGGTGAAAAGGAACCATAATGTAAGAACAAATATTAGATGGAGAAACAGATATGATACAAGCCTAAACACATCTGTTGCTTGTTTATAGCCCTGAATATGTTATGCATGTGCTAAATATACAGTGTCCGTCTGTCTGAAAGAGAAAGGGGATAGTAAGGTCCTTTTTTTTTCATTGCGACAGAAACAACATATGACCTAGAAAAAAAATATTCAATATTTCTTTCTTAAATGCAGGACCATGTAGATGCTGTTCGAAGCCTGCTGAAACAACATCGTGAATTTGAACAAGTGCTAATGGCGCTGAAGAGACGAGTTGAAGCACTTAATGAAAATGGGGTGAACCTAATAGAAAGCGGGCACTTTGCATCTCACGCGTGAGTCCAGACTCCTCCTTCCTTTTTATTCCAAGGGGGATTTAGAAAAGACAGGGATTCCACAGGAAGGATTTAGTTTTAATAAATTATCCAGTATGATTAGAGTGAAATTAAAATCTTTCTCTAAGACAGGATTCAGACTCCAAGGACAGAGGGCAATGGCTTTAAACTAAAAGAGGTTAGATTTAGGTTAGATGTTAGGAGGAAATTCTTTACTATTAGGGTGGTGAGATACTGGCGCAGGTTGCCCGGAGAAGCTGTGGATGTCCCATCCCTGGATGGGACATCAAGGCCAGGTTGAATGGGGCTTTGAGCAGCCTGGTCTAGTGGAAGGTGATCCAGCCCATGGCAGGGGGATTGGAACTTGGTGGTTTTTTTAGGTCCTGCCAAGCCAAGCCATTCTATGATTTGATGTTTACAGACTGTGATTTGCTGGATGAGGGCAGGGAAAGGGGAGTATTTTAGAAAGATATAAGCTTCCTGTTGTCTCAGAACAAATAAGTGAAATGTTCTAGGTTAAAAATGGCAATTTACAGAACACTAGAGTAATTCTTCTTTTATCATAAACTATGTATAGTGTTAAAACTGCTTTAACATAATCACATTAAATGCTTGCATATTTCATTTTTTCTTTCACTTATCAGTATCAGATATGTTTATAATGTATACAGTATGTTTGCTGTTAAAAAATTACAAATGTCTTCATAAGGAGATAAATCATCAGGAACAGCTCCTTTGTGTTGTTGTGGAAGCTCAAGTGTCATCTGTAATTCCTTTACTGTGATAGACCCACTAGAATCTAGTAAAGGGAACTCTGCATGAAAAAGGAATTAGAAATTGAGGGTCAGAATCGACCTCTTAGGTCAAACAGACTGTGGTTTTGTGATCACAAGTGATAATTTCTTGAAAATTTCTTCCACAAATTCATAAAACTGCTCTTAAAACCAGATTTCTTGCCAAATCTACTACCATTAGAAGGCCATTCCAGAGCATCATTGCACAGCTATACAAAAGGAAAATCCAGAGCAGCTGGCAAGCATTAGCTATTTTCCAGATGAGTTGTACATGGTCGTAGGACAGGGTCATATATCACTTCCTCCTGTCAACGGATGTGTTGAACTAGATTCCAGTCATATTACACTAATGAATACAGTATAGCCATGGGCATCTATATGACTACTACTACTACATTGGACTTGTTATTTTTCTTGGTAGTATTGAAGAGAGAATGGCTACACTCCGACGAAGATGGGAACGGTTGGTACAAAGCAATGCTGAGAGAAAACAAAGGCTGTTGGATTCCCTGCAACTGCAGGTAAAATGACTGAATCTGCAGATTTAGTCAGGCATGCATGAAGTAATTTCACCCCTTGGCTTAGTAGGAGACATATCTCAAACTGTTGAGCATTCCTACTGCAGCTCACTTTCCACTTTCTCTTTGGTTATGAGAACAGAGAATTTCACTATCCAGGGAAGAAGTGATGCACTGGAGATAGATCTTCCAAAGCTGTAACCAGAGCAAAATACAAAAGCAAAAATTGAGACACTGAATGCAAAATATCACCAGAATATTGTACCTACTGGATAAGTTTATACTACTCATTACTTAATATACTTCTGAGCCTTAATCATTTGGCAAAAATTAACATTTTACGCTAGATTAATGTAATTAGGGAGAATGTTTAAAGAAAGTGTTACTCATAACCATCAATGGATGACTTCTGGCTCACATTCTGAATTCCTAGTAACAATTTTTCTTCAGAGTTGAGGTCAGGTTTTGCTACTGCAGTGTTACCTGTGCTTGTTCTCTTGTGCTTAATCAGTAATGTTGTGTTACAGTTCGAAAAGCATCAAGAACAAGATTAACTTTTTATTTTTTGCATTTTAATTTTGTTTTAATCAGGTCTTCATCATTATTTATTGCCTTTATTTGCTATACATGCAAAGAAGGACTTCACTTCAGGGATTTGATTTTCCAGGACACTTGATTGTGGCTTTCTGTTGTAAATGCAAATTTGGGAAGTTCCCTCTATGTCCCTTAGACTCTGTTCACAAAAATTTTTCACTCAGAGGGTTTATAAAGAAATGAATAAACATTAAATATGATTATTACTCTTCCTATAAGGTGCCCTATGTGAAAATACCTACCAAAAGTACACAATACATAATCGGGACTCACCACTTTATGCTGGCTATATATCTTATTTACACTAACAGTACTTTTGGCAAGAACTTAGCTTCTAGTGCTGAGACACAAAGTTATACAGGAGGGTTATGCCACATATCATTAAAATAGTGTGTAAAAAAATGCAAACCTTTGCTGACAATAGAATTCAACAGATTAGTATGTAATGTAAAAAGGGGACTAAGAGATATTACTCTGAGGGCTTAAGAACTCAATAGTTTAATGTCATAACCCCTTAATTAAGAGTGCTGATTATGTAGAACAACTTGCATATGAAAATACAACACATATACTAACTCTTGGAAAAATCAGGGCTTGATCCTAATGGCAAGGATGGCAAACTCACACAAAACCAGAAATTAAATCTATTTAATCCTATTTGTTTCTGTAAGGAGTTTAATCGTGATGCTGCTGAGCTTTTGATATGGATGGAAGAGAAGTACAAGATAGCATCAGACGAATCGTATCGTGATCCAACAAATGTTTTACGCAAACTGAAGTGGCATGAGGCTGCTGAGAAGGAAATGATGGCTAATGAGAAGCATTTTGCAACACTAATAAAGGTGAAGACAGTTTTGGAGCTAAGTCTTCCATCTTGTACCAAATTTTGTAGAAGCTGATCTTCTCAAAAATAAATAAATAAATAAAATAAATTGTGCTGTGTTTCTCCAGAAAGGAAATCAGATGGTTCAAGATGGCCATTATGCTGCAGTTTCTATACAGAACAAGATGTCAGAGCTACAAAAGAAGTGGAAGGAACTGTATGGCAAGATGACAGAGCGAGGTGACAAGCTGAGACAAGCTGGGCAGCAAGAACAGCTCATGGAACTGCTCCAGGTCAGGAGGTGGTGGGATGCAGGGGGGAGGGGTGGCCTAGAAACCTGGTTTCACTGTTGATATGGAGTGATCCTCAAGAAAAAGAGCAGAATACCCTCCAGATAAAAGTATATTTTAAGGTGTTTGGACATCAGACAGATCGCTGGACTTTGCCTACAGTCTCGGGAGAGAAAACCCCAATATAAGGCCAGTCAAGCACACTAAAGCTAAGAGTAGGACAACAGTGCCAGCATGGCACCAAGATGCAAAGCTGCTGAGCTCTGGCTCAGCACTGCATCTATGTGACTATTGAATACTGAGAAACAAATCAAAAGTATCTGCAAGATTAAATGCTATGCAAACATTCTGGCTTGCTTGGAGTCGGTTTGAGGCATGGCACTACATTAAATAAGTAATCCAGGCAAATTGTATGAGAGGAACAATATGCTGTGAAGCCGTTTCCAGATACTAATATTTAATGAAACTGTTGCTGTATTGAAATTAAAAGCTAAAATTTGAAGCCTTTGAAGTTTGTTTTATGCAATGTCACTGAAGATGGTTCAAAGAGATGATTTTGTAATCATGTACTTTAGTGGCTGGGAAAGAAAAGTACACCAAAATAGAGAGCAAAGCAAAGTATTCCCAGGAGATGCCTCTTATAGACACCTGGCATCGTGTTACCAAGCAAGAACATATGAATTTAAAAATTGTATCCAGGAAGCTGTCATGGGAATAGCTGAGTGAAAGAAAATGGTGTTGCAAGGTCATTATGAGTGTGCAGTAACCTTTTCCCGGTAGGATGCCAAAAAGAAGATAGAGAAAATTGAGAAGGTTCTTCAGGAATCAGAGACAGGCCATGATCTGCGCTCCAGCCGTGATCTACTCAAGCAGCACAGGCAGCTAGAAAATGAGACACATGAGCTGGCAGAGAAAATGAACTCTATTGTGTCTCATGCGAGGAAAATGGCCACCAATCACTTTGACTCCCAGAGGATTCTGGAGGAAACACAGAAATACCTGAAAAGGTGAGGTGCCATTCTCTTTCTGTTTCCACCCCTTGTGACACAGCATTTTTTGTTCCACATTCTAGAAGATGCCTTTCAGTTGATTAAGTTTAAGCTATATTCAGGAATTATTTTTCCTACTGTTTCTGCCACAATAGTGCTTTGGTCTGTACCTGCACAGCTGCCTGTTGACTCACCTCAATATTTATTGCTGGAACTTACTTCTTGTCTGTTGCCCTCCTACTCTGGTCCACTGGTTACCTATAGGTCATCCAGCTGCTTGCTAAGAGGTGCAGTGATCCAGTATTCAGTAGTGGCTAGCTTCCTTAAAACATCACAACACAAGGCTATGGCTTCAAAAGTGTAAATCTTTTTTCCCTCTACTGGAGTGTGTTGTTATCATATAAGTCTAAACTAAAAAGCGGACTGAAATTCTCTTTCTTCCAAAGAACACTACTTAAATGGTTGGAAATTGAGGCATGGATTGTATGTTAACTGTATTCCCCTTTAGATGTAGGCTTACGAAGTGGAAGATTAGAGTGTTGTTAATTGTCCACTAGCACTATATATTGCAGCTGCATGATCCATGCATGTCTATATTACTACAAAGCCTTATCAACAGTATCACAGCTTCATACGGTCCTGGTCCCATTTCCTCTGCCCTCATATCAAATCTCTTCCTTACTTGCCAAAAGTAGCCGTCTGGAGAAGGGGTTCTTGTATGTACAGCCAGTACTATCCATTGAAGTTTAATTGCAGAGGTAGGTGTCCAGTGTTCCGTGATCATCCCTGTGGTATAATAGGCTAATTCCTTTTGCAGAACTGGGATAAAGCTTTTTTTTAATATATATTTTCATGGATGACCCCTAGGTTTGAGTCTTTACAAGCACCTCTTAACGAGAGACGTAAGTTGCTGGAAGCTGCAGTGGATCTTTACGAGTTCTACCATTACCATGACATGGAGATGAATTGGATTAAAGAGCGTTTGCCTATTGCCCATTCTACCAACTGTGGGAAATCTTTGGATGTTGCTCAAAGCCTGTTGCAAAAACACAAGGTAACTTCTTTAATCAAGTGTATTATAGCATGTTGGCACATTGGACTTCAACTTGGTCTGCACCTGCAGTGTTCTCCTTTACTTCCAGGAAAGGCTGTTGCAAGCAAAATGTAGTGGCATACTCTTGCTGAAGTATGATTCCAGCACATTGAGACAAGTCAGCAATGTGGTGATGATTTCCAGAACAAGGAATTCCTGTAGGATCTGCAAAAATTGTCATATTTTACAGTATTCCAATCTGAGAAACTTTGTAACTCTTCCCATTAAAAGTAGATAAAAGCTAGTGTACCTCACACTAAACAGAGAGTTTTTTGCTTTGTGCAGTGGTCTTAGTAAAATATTTGAACTCTCATATACTCATACTATTTTAGTTCTATACTTAACTGCACTCATTGTACATGCAATGTCATCTTGAGGTAGGTGCATGGTAGATCCCGTAGGAGAGCCTAAAACATAGAAAGGAGAAAGGGTAGAATCAGGGCAGAGCACTGGGCCAAGGACTTTGGTGAGTAATGCTGAGGTTGGAAGGAAGTTAAAAATGCCTTCTGTCACCTTGCAGATCCTATCTCCTCCCTCAACAGCAATACTAACAGCAGAATATTATACAAACAGGAATAAGACTGGCAGCTCAGGCTGCAGCTGTTGTAGAAACCAAAAGTCCTTGTGCTCACTGGCATAGATAATTGCTACACTGTGCTGACCATCACCAGCTGCCAGTTTTGTTTATGACTAGGAGAACAGAAATGTCTGTGTCATCACATGCCCTTCCTTTCTTCCTCAATTTTCTTTTTTTCTCATTCCCAGGAATTGCAGGCAGAAGTGAATGCTCACAAGCAGCAAGTCCAGCGGGTCCTGGATAAAGGAAGGACAATGATTGTGGGCCAGCATCCATCAGCTCAGAAAATAAGTGAGAAATGCCAGGAACTTGTGACTGCATGGCAGGGCCTGGAGAAAGCCTGTGAGGAAAGGATGAAGCAGCTGCAGCACTCAGTTGGCTTCCAGGAGGTATAAATTACAGCAGAGTACTCAAAGAGTAGCTTTTTCGGAGAAACAAGAGGACTAAAGTTTTGCAGTGAATTACAAACCAACTTCAGTATCTCCCTTTAGTAAGCCTGGAATTCACTTAAGCTACTTGGGGTGAGACTCAAGGGAATGGAGGGCTGGGCTGCACAGCTGAGTGCAGCCTCCAGTCCAGAGTTGGTGCTCTAAAGGTTTATCTTGGGCTCTGTACCCATCCCTTATGGTTGAGTGTAAGACACCCATTTTTCCTAATAGTAGCTCCTTTCTCAATGTCTTTATACAGCATCAGGCTTTGACTTAAGCAATGCAAAGGAAATCTGAAAAGAATTGATCTAACCTGTGCCTGTTGTAGGCAACAAAATGACATTGGAAAATTGATAAAGCTCTTCCTTTCAGAACAAGTTAGGAATTCTATTATTTCAACGTATTATTTCAACAAGATACTGGATCATAAATTTAATCTGCTTAAAAAAGAGATTGCATGCAAATATTTATCTGGATAATCCAAACATTCTGTCATCAGTGGATCATTTGAAGTGCAGTTACACAGATGACACAGGTAGTTTTGTAGACAAATTGCATTTGCACAGAGCTCACAGGCTCACCTAAAGTATGCTCCCTGGAGAATCTGATCATCTGGCTCTTGTTTCCTCCACCTGTGAAAAGAGCTGCTAATACTGTAGGCTTAACGAAGCCTGATTTTTTATAGGTGATTTGAACTTCTCAGAAAGTGGGAGGAGAAATATCACACTGTTAGTAGTTAGCACCTACCCTTAATAAAAGATGAGTCAAATAAGAATGTCAATGTGAAGAAAGAACAGTAAGACAACTAGAAACTTATTGCCAGAGCTTTGATGTCTGGAAAGGACCTTAGTTATCTTGCACAGAAGTCTTCCATCTGTGGCCTTCTTCATATGATTTGATGGAGCAACATATATATATATTGTTGCTCTGATAGTATATATAAAATCCTTATAAGAGGTCCCAATTAGAACCATTTTTAGAACCACATTCCATTTGCCATTTAGAAAGCATTTTTTTCAGAGGGTTTGCAAAGTTAACGAAGTCTTCCTTGGCTTCATTGCTTAATAGGAATAAAACCCAGCTTCTTCCAAGAATCCTGCAACTTAGTCTGGTTCATGTGAAATAGTAGTTCTTGGGATTAAATAGTCTTTATTTGTTATTCAATATCACATTGCAGTAGACCTTACTGTAGTAAGGTCTCCGTTTCAAATTTACTAGATCAAAAGAACAATGTGAGTACTATGGAAGTTGAAGTAGATGTTAATTTGCTTTCTCTTTAACTGATAGTTTCTAATGAATACTTCAGACCTGGAGACTTGGATAGCAGAAAAACGTCCACTTGTGACCAGCAAGGACTACGGTAAGGATGAAGATGGAACACTGAAACTCCTCAAGAAAAATAAGGTATTTCAAAAGTTCTTTAGTAATTCTTGAAGAATTAAACAAGAAATGTTCAATGTTTGTGAATGTGGATAAGTGAAAGAACTGAGTTCCTATGTTGCTTTGAGAAGGAATTTCCACTATAAGATTTGAATTTATGCATCCATTGACAAACAAGTTTTTTAACAGAGCTAGGATCTCCTTTGTATTGCATACTCTGGAATAAGACAGTCTGAGAGTCTCGTGTGTAGTATATAGATGTTATGGGATGAAAGAAACACACTTTAGTGATGAATGAACAGTAGTTTGGCAAAACAAAGAGAATGATAAATATTCTCATCTTATTATTCTGAAGCCAAACTAACTGTGATCTGATATCTGCTTTTCAGTCTTGACATATGCATGGAGAAGCTTTTTTTTTTTTTCCTAGAGTCAAAGATACAGATTGAGTGTTACTATTCCAGGAATACTTTGTTTTAAAATGTATCAGGAATTTCTAATTGTCTCTACTCATCCATTTTGTTTGATTTTATGTACTTCTTTTTTTTTTTTTTTTTTTTTTTTTTTTCAAAAAAATATTGAGAGCAAATTATCTGAAATCGTTCAAGTCATGGAAATGTCACATACTTCCAGAAAGTTTTTCTTCTGTTTTAATGTCTCATTGATTATACCATAGGCTGGTGCAAAATTTCAAGCAGTGGAACTCTTGAACAAGTTGATCTCATTCCACGCTTCTCTCTGCAGGCACTGCAGCATGAGATTGCTGTTTACCAAAACCTGCTGAAAGAACTAAGTGAAAGCGCCCAAAATCTTCCTCTTGTGGGCTCTATCCAGCATGTTGAGGTTGATGCACCAAAGCAGCAAGTCCACGCAAGACTGCAGGAGTTGCAGGAACTAGCAGCAGCAAGGTACGAACTAGACAATATGTAACTGACTCTAATCTAAATTGCCCCCTGGATCCTAGGTTTGATTCAAAGCCTGTTGAAGTCAATAAAGAATATTTCCAGTTACTTTGCTAGAATTTTTGATCATATCTATCGACTCTCCTTTTTCTAATTGCATACAAGGAATTGCTTATTTCTGTATTTGAATTCTGTGCACCTATGAGCTTTTTATAATTACTAAGCAAAAGCTCTACATTTTGTTTAAGGACTTTCACTGCATATTAAGGATTTGAAGCCTCCAAATTTCCTCTTCACACTTCATCATCCTCCTTACAGTGACTTGAGATGCCAGATTCTGATTTTCCTTTTATTTGGAATCTATCAAATGGTGGGGGAAGATTTGTTTTTAAAAGGTTTCCTTAGTGTTTCTTTAAAATGATTTGATTCATTACATAGCAGAAGAGAGGCAATTGCAGTTACACTTATTTTTATGTCCAGTGGCAGTGTTAGTATAGGAAGGCTTTTATTCTTGAATGAGTCATTTACTTTTTATTTCACTTCCTTTCTGCTATTATTACAGTAAAAACTTAGAGCAAGACAGTTTTCTTGTACCAAGGGTTTTAAAATACTTTTAGCTTGTTGGGAATGAACTAATGTCTGTTTGAACATTTTAGGATTTTGCTCAAAAAAAAAAAAAATATCAGAAAAGGAATAGGACTCTGCAAGTAGCATAAGAAATAAATGAGTCTGAAAATTGGAATACTTAAGTCCACAGTAATGCTGATATTTTACCTGTTGTTTCTATTTTGTTTACAAATTAAAAAGTAGAAGCATGAATAGAAATTCCTGTGAATTAGACGTTTGGAGAAATAAATTTTATTTCTCTGAAATAGAAATAATAAAATATTTGAGTATGTTGAATGCAGAAATGTTCTGTGTTGTTTCATGCTTAACATTAATCTGGGTCTCATGGTGCCTTATTGGTGCTCTGGTTTATACCTCCTGTCTGCATTTCCTTTGGTGGGATGGATACTCTGAGCGGGCTTCATCTCTTGTGATGAACATTTGTGATTCAAACAGAGGGAAGCCAGGTTCACCTTTGCTTGAATATTTGCACAATGAAAGGCACTGTTAACAGATGAAAAATTAGATATTTTTTTTGCTGTGTAAGGCCTGTAGTATGTCAGGCTGTATTATAAGATACTCTAGGCAATCATAAATATGCAGCAAGTTGCAGCAGTTTTGCTGCATATGTAATGTGAGCTGAATTACATAGAATGTCTTTCAAAGCACTTGCCTTCCTGGTACACCAACTTTAGTTAGATTTCCTTCTCATTTTCATAAGTACCACAACCATTTTTAGAAAGACAGGTTCAAAAGAAAAGGTATTCTCATTTAAAAACAAACAAAACTGAACAGGGAGAGAGCTCAGCAAGGTACTGAACTCTTCTGGAAACCTCAGCCAGTGAGTCTGACCTGGCTGACAGCTGTCATCCTACAACTATCCTTTCCATTTGTGAGAAAAAACGTCTTTTATTAGAGACAGTGAATTTTGTTGATGAGATGCTTTGGGGATTAGTGGGAAGAGAGTTATTCATTGCCCTCCACTTTTTATTCCCACCATCTAATTGTATTGTCTTGTCCTCGTCTTGTTCCCTCAACAGAGGGAAGAAGCTGGATGAGACTCTTGTCTTGCATGAGTTCATACGGGAATATGGAGATCTGCAGGACTGGATCACTCAGCAGAAACAAGCAGCAAGCTCTGAAGACTATGGAAATGATTATGAGCATGTCTTGGTGAGTTTTTTGAGCAACAATCTAAAAACAAGCAAACTGTATACAGTCAGACTGTAAAAAGATTCTAAGGCTGTCCTTGAAAACTCAAAAGACAAAGAAAGAATTAAGTATAAATTACTAGGAGACAGGAAATGAAAAGTTTGAAGGATGAGCGGGAAGGACTGACTGGTTATGACAGGCAGACAACACTGCTAGTACTTGCATCCTGTTACTGTGGGACCTGAACTACATGAAACAACTGCACAGTAAAATGCCAAAGAGAAACCTATTTTTAATAACCATATATTTAAATGTGGTGTACATTAAGGATTTTTTCATTACAAATGCTAATGAACGGATATCTACAGCTATGCCTTTTCATATGGCAGAAACTAGTATAAAGTTAGCCCGTTAGAAGTCAATAGCCATTTGTTATCTTAATTTTTAACATTTATTTCAAAATATGTTGTGTCCTAAATCTTAAACTTGGACTACATTATTCACTTGAAGTATTAAATAAGCTTATGCATTCATGAAGTAAAAATGTATTATTTATTGAAATTCATTGTACATTGAAAAAAAACGTTTATTGCTATCCCTGATAATCATGTTTCTGCCTTCTATCTGCATCACAGACTTCATGTTTTGCTAACAATCTGTAGCTCCTCATGGTCTTTGGTAAAATCTCTGGTAAAATCCAGTCATTGATATCTTCCTCTGGACTTTCTCCGTCTCTGAATATGGTCAGCTTGTTACTTGTTTCTGTGACAGCTGAGTGGATATGTTTTGGAAAAAACAACTCTCAAAATACCTTTGTTGTTGTTGTTTTCCTTCAAAAGCAACTTTGTGCCAAATATAACACATTCCAACACCAATTGGAAGCAGCTGGGAAAAGAGTTGTGACTTGCCAGCAGCTGGCAGAAAGCTTGCTAAACTCTGGGCATTCTGAGTCCCGTGAAATCCGTCAGAAGCAGAAAGAACTAAGGTAGGAGACTTGTGTTAGCTCTATAATGCTTTGTCCTTTCAGTTCACTCTTGAGAATGAAGTGAGAAGAAATAAGAAAAAAGCACATCCACCCAGTTCTCTAATTGTAAAATAAGTAGTTTGCTCACTTGACAGAGAATGGTTGCCATGCCTCATTTAAAAATAAGCTACTATAATTCAGACATTATCTGTTTGCTGATTTGCCTTCTCGCAAACTGCATTGGAGATGCTTTACAAACAAGGGATGAGTGAACTTCCTTTGCCCTTTGAAACAGGATCACCTAAGTGTAGGGCTGGGTGTTCAGTTGAATCTTTATTGCTGTTAACTTTTGAGCTTGAATCCCATAACTGCTCTGCAGCTGTTAAGATGTTCTGAGCCCATTATGTTTGGCATTGGTCCAAGCTGGCCCAAAGGAAAAAGATGAACAAGTAGTTGTATCTGATTCAGTCCTCCAAATCCTGCTGTGTCAGTTGTAGAACTGAGCATGGTATTAAGCCCTGGCAGTAGAAATCAAAAGAGAACCTGATTCAGTCATCCATTTGGCGTCCAGGTTGGTGTGGCAGTTTTAGGGAGGCAGCTTCATGTAGTTGAGGAGCTGTTGTATGCATCTTTAGAGCTTCATGCATGTGCTTCATTCAGGAGTTTTTCTTCCCACTATCTTTCTCCCCTTCTCCCATATTGCTGCAAAAGGCTGTAGCATATAAAACCTGAAGAGCATATTGAAGAGGAGTGCCTTTATGTAGGCATC